GGGGGGGGGGGGGGGGGGGGGGGGGGGGGGGGGGGGGGGGGGGGGCGTGCGTGGTGAGGAATCAAGGTTTGCTTGCTGCTTAGCGCTTCTGTGGCGCAACCAGGAGGCTGCTCTGGAGACAACTTAGGTGTGTCCCTTTTGAGAAAAGCGTCGTCTTATGTCAGTGTTCGCGGAGAAAACACGTTGTTGCGACACCGCCGTAAAGCATGAATTGAAACGCCATTGCCCCGACGTCTCATTTTCTGATGAAATGACAAGACGCCGAACAACAGCAGTCCTCCGGGGTTTTTTGTTGTTCAACAGTCCTCCATTTTTTTTTTTCTTGTTCAGCAGTTCTCCCATTTTTTTTTTTTATCAGGAAAAAAAAAAACAAGAGAAAACATGCGAAAACGGGAGGGAAACGCCATGCTGAAAAAAAAACAAATGTCTCGCCTCGAGTGGTACGCGTGAAGGAGGAGCAGGAGAAGGTTCTCGGAAAATTCGAAGGACGCCGGGAACTGCCTCAGGAGCTGGTACGTGGCGTCCAAGAACTGCGGGAAGATAGGCGACGTATCGGCTGCCCCTTGGCGACCGTGTCCCCCTCGCACCGCAAATCGGTGCCCGAAAGAGCACCAGTCCTTCGACACTAGCACCTTGGGAAGGGGGGTTTGGGGGAGGGTGCTCATGATCTGCACGCCTTAGCGGTTGGCCACGCTTCCTCGAGAGGACCGAGTATGGGGGGGTACACGATGGATGTCAACACAGCAGCCCTCTGCATCATCACTATTTATCGACCACAAACAACAGATACAGGAGATGATAGGGACACGCAAGCTACGCTCCTCCATTCCTACTGAGGGGAAGCAGCACAGCCTACCCGTGACGAAAGGAAAGGGTTCTTGGAATCGGTCTATCTCGGGATGGTATGCACGCGAGCCGAGATATCAACAACAACAACAACAACAACAACAACACGGCGCCCCCTGCCCCCCCCAACACCGCACCATCACACCTGGAAGCCTTCGATGGTGCGGTAGTACGGGTCCAGCAGAAGCTGCGCCAGAGCCGTGAGCTGAGACGTCCTGTCCCAGCCATCGCTGCAATGCACCAGGACGGGATCTCCCGCCTCGAGATACTCCGCCACGTCCGAAGCCCCGCTCAGGAGGGCTCCAACGAAGTCTAACCACCGGGAATTCTGGGCACGAGCGGAAGATTAGGTGCCCGGGGGGAGGGAGTTCTATAGAAGGTATGCATAACCTTACAGAAGTACTACCCGTTCGAGATATAACCACAGTTGAAGGAGATGTGCTGAAGTCTTTCCAGTGAGTGAAGGGAAACCGGCTGGAAACTGGGGCAACAGAATAAATACAACAAAAATGCGACCCCAGAAAAAAAAAACTACATGAACAGGATAAACTTGTGTACTGTAGACTTACACAAGAGTATGAACAAATGTGTTTCGTTTTGGGTATTTCTTAATTTTCTTCAGTTTTGATTTGGGGACGCAAAATTGAGTTGATATTCGGTATTCCATCACCGTAAATCAGCGATCACTGTCACAGCATTTCTGCCAGGCTGCCAGGCAGGAGCTCCAATCCAAAACTTGTTAGAAATGTAGACGTGTTGACAGCAATGCTTCAGCTCTCGGGCGCTGAGAGCTTAGAACCGGAGCGCTGTGAGCTAAGCGACGGGATTAGACACCCCCCTCAATGCATTAACGTCGACCCTTTGCCTGGCTCGCGCAAGAGCTCCGATTGACGACTCCTCTTCGCGGTGCGAACCAGGGGAGCCTTTCCACCGCCACCTGTCCGTGGCGGAGCTGAAACATAGACATACATACGATCGACTACTACTTGTTCGCGATGATGCCGTACCACACAGATAGTCGAACAGTTTTGTGTTGAAAGTATTTGCAGCGAGAGGGAGGGTAAAACCGGCTGGATACGAACCGCAGGAGGGGGTCCAACCCCCCCTCCTTTGTGATCCGGGTTGGGTCGTCTAGCTGGTAGAAGTGGAGGATAGGGGCCAGACGGGCGGACGACAGAGTCCAATGATGGGAGAAAAATTAAAATAAAATAATACCGGGCATGTTTTGAGTCTACTTGAGCCTACGCACGAAATATTTATTAGCTTTTTGGTCTGTATAAGCTTTGCTCGAGGTATACATTGAGTGCTGCCATCGGGGCACACAAGCAGCAGCGGTGGTCATCGCCGACAGACCAAAACGCGCGTCACGATTCTTAGTGCAACTGGGCATGATACGCGTGTGCCTGCAACTACAGTATTATTTCCCGCCGCGGCCCGCTTCAAGATCAAACAGCAGAGGCGGAGCAAAACAAAACAAGCTCTGTGGCCTACGTACGGGCTACCTCTAAATCCTAGCATCGGCTAGCCTCTATAAAACAACACGCCGACACACACACACACAACTTTGTGGAAAAATGAAGAAACATGCTTTTCGGCTGTTTTGAAAGGCGATGCCCGCAACAGCACACGCGGCTTATGGAAATGACATTTTTTTCCGGATCTTCCTAACGGAGGTGCTCGATCAGACACACACACGGCTTTCAAAAAACACACGGCTTTCAAAAAAACAAACTTGTGTTTTTCGGCTCTTCGGGAAGACGGAGACGTCTACACACAGCACACGCACACGGCTTGTGGGAAAAACATGGCGTTTGTTCTTTCTCATATCTTTCGAGAACGAAGAACCCACCGCCGCCGCTATGCATGCGTGCTGCTGTAGCTCGCACGTGGAGGTTCACCAGCCATGCCGGATCATTAGAGGGTTTTTTGTCCCTGCTCTAATGAAAGAAGAAGGAGCCGCTACCACCGAATGTGTGCATGCTACTGTAGTTTTCACGTGGAGGTTCACGAGCCATGCCGGACAATCCTGGAGGGGAGTACAAATTGACGTCATTTTTCCCAGCTCTCCTGAAGAAGAAGGAGCCTCTACTGCCGCATGTATGCGTGCTGCTGTAGTTTTCACGTGGAGGTTCACCAGCCATGCCGGATCATCCTAGGCGTAAAAAAACCACTGATTATTTATCCCTGCTCTTCTGAAAGAAGAACGCGTCGCTACTGCTGTATGTTGTAGCTCTCACGTGAAGGTTCACCAGCCACGCCGGGTCATCCTCCCGGCTGGAGCACGCCGACATGAGCGTGGCGAAGCTCTGCTGCATCGCGTGGACGTTAGGGATCTCTAGGAACGTTAGCGATGCCCGCCGGGGTCCTCCAAGCCGCGAGATTACCTTGCCGAGCAGTACACGCACAAACAACGACACACGCGGAGGGGGGATACATATACCGACGTCACAGGTTTCGTGCATGATAGGCGGGAGGGGTGGGGTGTACTCAGGCAAACGCATGCCCTAGTCGTTCGACGATCGGCCTCGCGTCACCCCTACAATGCCCGGGACGAAGGAACGATATGCCGGATTTTCGCCGGCCCAGGCTAAGTTTCGCAAGGATGAACAACGAGATCGACGAGTGTGTGTCTGTGTTTATGCTCATGTAAACGCATGCCGTACAGTCGAAAACAGACAGAATAAGGTTTCATGAATGATCGGGTGTGTGTGTGGGGGGGGGGGGGG